TGTAACAATTATACCAATAGAATTAATTTAATAGATATTAATAATTTAATTAAGAAATTTTTGACTACAGATAGGTATTACCTATCCAAATATAATTTAAGACAGATAGCAAATGTGCTATCTTATTATTTATATATTAACTCAGCCAAGGACTTTTCTACCCAGACATCTGCTGCTATTGAGCAGCATAATGATTTGACATGTAATTTGGAATCCGTTCCAAGTAATTTAAATTAGAAAATGAGACAATAGAGGTAATCTCTAGCAGTTATAATAATTTAAATAATTTAAAATGTAGCTTACAAATCCTTAATAGTTGCAATTGTATAACTCCACAAAATGATAATAAAAATTGTTTACACCTGGTGCATCAGAATATACAAGGCATGATAGGCAAAGAGCTAGAAATTGAATTGTTTTTAAATAGCAACAATATTCATATTTTATGTATTATTGAACATTGGTTAAAAGCTCATAATTTAATGTTTAACTTTATTAATCACCAGATGCTCAGTTCTTTCAATAGAGAAACGATTTTAAGAGGTGGCTCCTTAATTTTAGCTAGTAAATTATTATCATATAAAGAACGTAAAGATATTGTGAGCCTCTCTGTTGAGCGAACTGTAGAAATGGCATGTGTTGAGTTTGAGCACCTCATTGTTGTGAGCGTTTACAGACCCCCATGTTCTTTATATGATACTTTTGAAAAAATTATGGAGGAAGTTTTCGCTAAGCTTAATAAACAGAATAAATCTGTTGTAATATGTGGAGACTTTAATATCAATCTCCTAGAAGCTTCCTCCACTAATATTAAATTTAGATCATTGTTTAAATCTTATGGTCTTTTTAATTTATTTTTGGAGCCAACAGGTATTGCTGAATCTAGTGCAACATGTATAGATAACATTTTTACAAATGTTAAGCCGTTCAATAAATGTATAATTCAAAAATTGAGCTCTGATTACTGTGGACAATTTGTTTCATTACCTTATGTTCACAAAAAGCAAGTAGATAAAAAAGTAGTGTTTGTTCCAGTAAATGCACATCGCTTGGAGAAGTTTAGAAGTAACATAGTAAAAAAACTTCCATTACTTTCATACCAAAATAATCCAAATTTTTTGTATGGAACCTTATTTAAGCTCATTTGCAATGAATTTAATAATACTTTTACTTCTAAAACATTCTTCTTGAATAATCGTAAAGCATTTAATGAATGGGCGACAGTAGGAGTACATAAGAGTAGACAAAGGTTATATGAACTTTACAATGAAAGGTCATATAATCCTAGCGTCGAATTTAGGGAATATGTAAAAAAATATTCCAAAATATTTAAAAGAGTGTGCTCCTTAGCCAAGTCATTGTATTTAAGCAACAAAATAAAGACTGCTTCTAATAAAATTAAAATGACATGGAGTATAATTAATAGTGAAACTGGTAAGGTCAACTCTCGCAATTCAAACTACCATTTAAGTTTTAACAATAAATTAATTAAATCAGATCAGGACGTTGCAATGGTTTTTGAGAAATATTTTACTGATATTCCGATCTTAACCACTAAGTCACTGAATTCTTCTCCTACCATCGCCGAATCATTACTTAAACAAAATGTAAATTTGTGTACAAAGAATTTTACATTTCATAAAGTTTCATCAAAAGATATTGTAAAATATTTTAAGACTATTGATGATAAGAGAACCGCCGATCTGTGGGGGATTTCTGTTAAAGTTATTGCGTCTATAATAGATACAATCGCACCTCAACTATCTATTATTTTTAATAGTAGTATCAAATCTGGTGTGTTTCCTGATTTAATGAAGCATAGTAAAGTAATACCTTTATTTAAATCTGGTAGTACATTGGACCCCGCTAATTTTAGACCTATTTCTGTACTGCCAACACTTAGTAAAATTTTTGAAAAAATTATTCTTGATCAATTGTTAATTTTTTTTCATGTAAATAAATTACTTCATAAAAATCAATTTGGTTTCACAAGGGGTCGCTCGACAACTGATGCTGGTGTTGAGCTGATTAAATATATATTTAATGCATGGGAGAATTCACAGGATGCTTTGGGTGTGTTCTGTGACCTATCCAAAGCCTTCGATTGTGTTCACCATAACATTAATCAGGAAACTTCAACACTACGGTGTAAGAAATGATGCTCTTAAATTAATTATTTCATATTTAAGTGACAGAACACAAAAAGTTGTTATTAATAGTATGAGTTCTTCCGGGTCGATTGTACAAATGGGCGTGCCACTCAATTCTCGGCCCCTTTCTGTTTGTTGTATATATTAATGACTTACCTTACATAGTAGGGAATAGCCATGATATAGTATTATTTGCTGATGATACTTCATTAATTTTCAGATTAAAACGACAGTTATTAAATTACGACGAAGTAAATAATGCTATAGCTAAGTTAGTCAATTGGTTTAATGTTAATGGAATGGCATAGCGCCCGTCTAAGACCAAACTTTGCGCAAGGCATTTGCGCAAAAAAAAAAAATGGAACTAAAACTAAATGTATGAAATTCGTAACTCCTAATGTTAAACATGTCAATACTAATGTAATTTTAAATGGGGAGGAACTGAGTCTTGTTGATACCACCATTTTTCTTGGAATCACACTGGACGCAAAGCTTCAATGGCTCCCCCATATATCAAAACTAGCTAGCAGACTTAGTTCTGCAGCATATGCTGTAAAAAAGATTAGAACTCTTACCAGTGTTGAAACAGCTAGAATAGTTTACTTTAGTTATTTCCATAGCATTATGTCGTATGGTATTTTGCTATGGGGACACGCGACTGACACTGAAATTATATTTATTTTACAGAAGAGGGCCATTAGAGCAATATATAATTTAAAACCAAAAGAATCACTGAGACAAAAATTTAAGGAAATTAATATATTAACTCTGGCCTCTCAATACATTTATGAAAATGTAATGTACGTACACAAAAATAAAAGTAGTTTTGCGAAGATAAGTGATATTCATTCTGTAAATACTGGGAGCAGACACAAGCTGGTAGTACCAGCTACTCGACTCCACCGAGTCAGTAATTCATTCTTGGGGCGATGTATACGCTTTTACAACAAAATCCCAGAAAATATACAAAATTTGTCATACACAAAGTTCAAAAATGTTATTAAACTAAGTTTGTATAAAAAGGGTTATTATAATATTAAGGAATTTATAGATGATAATAACCCCTGGGAAGGGTGATCGCTACCAAGCTATTTCTAATTTGTCTTGTGTTGTTGATTGTAAACATGATTGTAAGCTATATTAAATAAAGTAGTCCCCCTGGGTTTCTTGCTGGTTCTTCCCAGGACAGAGGTTTTTTTGCGAACCAGTGGTAAATTAAACTTTCAATAAGTATTTTATTATCTACAAATAAAATTTCTATTCTATTTCTACTATGAGATACTTAAAGACTTCAAGAAAATTTATTAATCTCATATATATTTTGATCGTAAAATATAAAATAGATGTTATAATATTTCAAAAATGAGAATGCTAAATATTTTTTTATATATATTCTCACCTGATGGTATCTGTATCTGCATTCTTATTCTTTATATAGGAGAGATGTAGATGTCTACGGCCGACAGCATCCGATAATCCGTCAATATAGGCTTTCCTTAAGAAATGCCATAAAGCATGGTCCTGATTACATACACTGATACAGGTCCTTATTTCACAGCAGAGGCCACCCTATACTTCGCTCGCCAGTTCATCGTACGTACTTATGTGTAACTTTCAAGCATGCAGTGCTAAAGCGTTTGCACAAACACTAGACCTCCCACTCATCATGTCGTTATGATGCAAGCAGTGCGCGCAGGGGTATAATTAGTGCGCCTCATTACCTCGCCGACACGAGGGCCCTTCCTACGCTTTTATGTGATTGCAGCTAGGGGTTATTTTAACATAACACGAATCTACATAATGAAATGTTGTTATTACATTATTTCTACACGCGCACGCCACGCTGTAGCTATATTATGGTTGCAGCACGAATGAGTCGGCTCGACCGGGGAAGGACGACGCTCTCAAATGTAAAATATTCTGGTTCTACTGAAAAATATTAGGGAATGTAAAAATTAATTAAGCATGTGTTTTTTTAATCTAGTTTCAACGTGAACTTTTTATTAGATTTGATTGACATATAAAATCGAAACGCGTTGAGAAATTTAGTTACATGTTTGAAGTGAAACGGCGTGATATGTATGTATATTAGGAGTAATGTGTTTAGCGAGAGCAAACGCACGTCTCGGCTCAAACACGTGTGATCCTAGCGACGGTTTCAGATTTTCTACGTGACGTAAATACCTTTCAGGACAACATTCATGACATCTAACTAGGTTACTTGTTACTACTCTTATCCGCTTTTATTATAAAAAGTGGTTTATAATAAGTGTCACGTTTAAACTAAGTTCTTATATAATAAAGAAGTACCGTGGAAATGTACGGACTTAATTATAAAGTGTGGAATTTGAGAGCAAATGTCATTTTCGTGAAGAATCGGACTCACAAGTTTGAATTTACTAAGTCACTATACTAAAATCCCTTAAATAATTACCAAAAAAATGCCATGCCTATATTATAAACATTTCTAAAAAGATCATATTTCAGCCCTAAGCGTTAATTTTATCGTGAATAAATATTATTTTAAACATTTAAAAATGGCGAAACGGCTGAATATAATTATTCTAGTACATTCTCTTTAAACGTAATATCGTGAGCTAAATTGCGGTTCCATGCGGACTGCAATCGTCGTTACAGAGCGCTTGTGTTTTAATACCTTTGTTAGAATAGGAAGTGATGATTTTAATACGTTCATGCTGTATTGTTTTTCTTATAAGATGCTTAAAAGGAAATGGAATATTTTTTTTATTTTTTACTGTCTGTGCTCTCGGGGGAGCCTTAACCCTAGAGAGCGAAAGAAGCGAGTGAACTAAGTGGCGTACATTAACAGGAGTCCTCTGCGATCCAAAAATGCCGATAAGAACCAAAGGCAAGGTCTATAAAACAGCTGTGAGGCCTGTTTTACTCTATGGTAGCGAAACGTGGGCTTCGACGAAAATCCATGAGCGAAAACTTCATGTCACTGAAATGCGCATGTTACGTTGGGCGGGTGGAGTCACTCTAAAAGACATAGTGCGTAACGAACACGTAAGGGGGAGTTTCAAAGTAACGCCTATCACTGATAAGATTACAGACTCCAGGCTAAGGTGGTACGGACATGTTATGCGTAGACCCGATGACCATGTCGTGAAAAAGTGCCTTTCCATGGCTACAAAAAGGAGAGGTAGAGGTAGACCGGAAACTACCTGATTGACAAATGTCCGGAAGGACATGCTAAAGCTCTGCCTTACAGAAGATGATGCTTACCAGCGAATTGAATGGCGCCGAAGGATTAAGAAAGCCGACCCTGCGTAACGGGAAGAGGCGAGGGCAAAGAAGAGGAAGACTGTCAACGAAGAAGAAAGATTTTTTTCAAATGACAAAAAAAAAATTGATAAAAGTAGCTCCACAGGAATCCTTTTATTTTTTCACTTTGCGATATAGGTTTTTAGTGGTGCATCCTGACATTTTACTGGTACGATACACTAATGTGGTGTAATTTATTTAATGATTCATCTTGTGACGTCGCAATATCATTAACAATAAATTATAATTAATTTGTATATAAAGACGTCTAAAAATATTTTAGATATATATCTTTTGAAAAAATAAAATTAAGTAAGTTTAAAATACATTAACTTCAAACAAACATTAAGTAAGTATTATAGTAAAGTAAATAGGCTTATTTGTCATAAAAATTCATTAAATTGACTAGAACTGCTTAAAATATTAAAAAAGTATGAAATAATAGAAGCACAAATCGAGTAGTATTACAATAATTAATATTAATAACATTTATAAGTTTAATATTATAACTGAGAAATGATGTTTGGTTACAGCCGTCTCAGTTACAGGGCTACTGTGATATGTTGGTGATATTTTTAATAAATAAAATTACCAATTTGTTGCCAGAGTGGATAAGGATCATGTGGGTGTGTTGTGAGGGAGCACCAACCGTGTGATAGTTGCATTGATGCTTTCTGCTACTTGCGGTATTGAGTTTTGTGGTGGATCTGCGGGTGTGATGCGCCTTCTTGTGGTTCTGAAGATATGCGGGTGATGACTTCTGCTGGGATCGTATGAGTGACCTTGCGATGGTGTAGGCCCGATGGTAGTCATATTGGTGCTTGTTGTGTTTTTTAGCATTGCGTGATGCGATGGTTGTTTGTGGGTCGCTATTCTCATAACGCTCTCTGCGTTTTGTTTTGACTCACACCTAAGCAGCTTTGCCTGAGTTGTTTAACCTAAGTAGGTTGCCCATAATGGCGGCCCGCAGACCATCTGACCTCCACGATATATATATATATATATATATATATATATATATAATTGCAATAAAAATAGAAGTCATATCAGCTAACTACTACCTTTATGCTGACGATTCGAGTTATATCGTAATTTTGTGGCTTCCGAAGCCAACTTGGCGATTGAAGCTATGAATGACGACTTAAATAAGATTAGCAAATGGTCGAGATCATTTGGTCTCACATTAAACTCAACTAAATCCCAAGCCTTGACAATAGGCAAAAGATATGCGCGTGGCACGCTTGATTTCTCATCTCTCCAAACTCTACGAATCGATGGCGCCGCTATTCCCTACTCAGATACTGCCATTCTCTAAAACGCTTTCAAAGTTTTCTACCTTTGTCTACTAAGATATCTATAGTCCAGACTCTTATCTTGCCGATTTTAGATTACGCTGATGTCTGCTATTTGGATGCTACCGAGAAGCAAACTAATAAACTCGAGCGCTTGCTTTTTGACTTAAACCAGTTCGATCACGTCTCTGTTTATCGCAAGCAGCTTATATGGCTCCCCATCCGCATTCACCGGAACACTCGAATCCTCTGTCTTCTTTTCAATATTCTACATAATCCTGATACTCCGCTATATCGAAAATACACCTCCAGATGTTCCATGAAATACTAGAACTCTGTTAAGATTTTCATCTTTCAATACAATGCTCTATTCTCATTCTTTTACTGTTAACGCAGTACGATTTTGGAATTCACTTCCCTTTAGGATTCGTGACGCTAAGTCGGTGTCTATGTTTAAAAGATTTGTTAAAGAGCACTATCATTCACACCATAATTATTATTTCGTGATGTGTAGTTATTCATATATGTAACATTAAAAATATAATATATTGAATTATTAATTTTTTTGTTATAATATATTATATTTGTATTCTATATATATATATATATATATATATATATATATATATATATATATATATATATATATATATATATATATAATATATATATATATATATGGATGTTATCATTTCTTAAATTTACGCGAACACTACACATTGAAAAAAACTAAATTTAGGGATTCTATCGCGTTTATGTAACTGATTTTACTTATTTTTAATTCCCGACGTTTCGGGTGCTTTACAGCAACCATGGTCACGGGGGGGTTGAAGACTGCATGTCAATTGTAACTAGGAAGCTAGAAGATAACAACATGCCTGCTGAATATGCAGTATTACTCAAACATTGCCTCACATCTGGCTATCTATTGTGGAAGGAAGGGTTCTACAAGCAAGTAGAAGGTGTGGCGATGGGCTCACCTGTATCTCCCATAGTCGCTGACATATTCATGGAGGACTTCGAGGAGAAAGCCCTTCTTACTGCTCCTGTAAATCCTCTCGGATTTACAGCGGTATGTAGACGACACCTTCACAATTTTACCATCTGACAAAGTAACTGCATTTTTAAACCACCTTAACTCTATAAACTCTAAAATACAATTCACAATGGAGTTAAAGGCAAATAATTCTTTAGCTTTCCTAGATGTTTTAGTCATTCGAAATCCTGATAACACTATTGGTCACACTGTGTATAGAAAAAAGACCCAACCAACCGATATTTAAATGGTGAATCTCACCATCATCCTTCACAGTTATCTACCGTGGGTAAATCTTTGTTTCAGAGAGCACGAGGGGTCTGTGACAGAAAACATCTAGCCGCCGAGCTGCAGCATGTCAAGCAAGTGTTGCAAGACAACAAGCTTCGGATCCCGCGCCTACGTCACAGTGACCGAGTGAAGCCGGCCACAGTCGAGCGTGTGCCTGCTGTACTACCATATGTCAGAGGAGTCACAGACAAGGTTGGCTACGTCTTGAAGCGAGCTTCCATTAAAACATACTACAAGCCGCCGAAGAAGATTAGTCAATTTTTACCATCCGTCAAGTGTAATATCCCTCTACAAGATGCAGGAGTGTACAAGTTAGATTGTGAATGTGGTCTCTCTTACATAGGTCAAACAAAAAGATCCATAAAAACCCGCGTGAAAGAACATATAGCTGACGTGAAGCACCGACGCTCCGGGAAGTCTGTAGTCTGTGAACATGAGCAAGATCGTCCCCACCATTACATCAGATTTGATAAACCACAAATCCTCGCAAAAGAACACCGATTCCTACCAAGGATGAGGCTATTGAAATTAAAAAACATCCTAATTTCAATAGAGAAGATGATTGGGTGCTGCCATCTGCTTGGGATCCTATAATTAACAAAATTAAACCCAAACCCAAGCATACCTCTGCAAGACTTCAAGATACTGTAAGTTCGTTTTGCGTAAATCGGAACAAAAATTAATATTCAAAAACTGAAGGTAGCCGGGCTAACAATGACATTGGGACGTCAAACATCTCAGTCCCCCCCGTGACCATGGTTGCTGTAAAGCACCCGAAACGTCGGTAATTAAAAATAAGTGAAATCAGTTAAATAAACGCGATAGAATCCGTCAATTTAGTTTTATTCAATATATGTTTTTATATATTTTTACCCCTTTTTAACTCAAATCTCATCACTCAAAAATTATCACGATAAGATTTGACTTGTAATTTTTAAAAAATTGTAGTTTTATATTTATTGTAATTCTATATAATTTAATTTTATATTAATTGTAATTTTATTTATTACTTTATTTTATTTATTTAACAGTTTATGCACACACATACTTCGATAGGAAAATGGTAAAACAAAATTATGTACAAACGCACTGCATAATCCACAATGAAATTTATTCCAGCAGGCCTATTGAAGGATAGTTGAAGGAAATAGAGGTAGTCAAAGTGTGCACTTTACTAAAATATACATATACAATACAAATACAAATATACAAACATCCATATATATACACATACATACATACATACATACATATATATACATATATATATATATACATATATATACACATAAATATAGAATACAAATATAATATATTATAACAAAAAAATATAATTCAATATATTATATTTTTAATGTTACATATATGAATAACTACACACATCACGAATTAATAATTATGGTGTGAATGTCAATTCCTTAACGGAACTGGTGTCAAGCAGTAAAGGTTCTCTAACCAATGAACAAAGACACACATTATCTTTTTATTTCAAAATGCGTGGCAATGCATTATTTTACTGTGCACGCACACATTCGTAAGAGTAATTCACATTCAATTTGGGATAATTTCAAATAAAAATAGAAGGCTTATTTACTCGTATTTTAAAAAAAACTGCAATAACGGTAATGTATCATTATTTATATACCTATTTGAACTAAAGTTTAAAATTTGGCTACTTAAAACTAGGCTAAACAAAAACAACAGGTTAAATATGTATTTTAGGTACATACTCATTACACAAATACATAGGTATATAGCCGTTACACGTAATATAAAATACATCTACATTAAAATTAGAAATAACATAATAATATCTATATATTTCAAAATCATTGATATTGTCCGACAACACAGATTTTGAAGAACACCTTGCATGCTTACAAGAACAGACTTGCCGCTCTTCTTACGCATTCAAGCAAGGAATTCCTGACTAGAATAAATCAAGAACCAGTTTTAAACAAATATACAGGCGCGAACGTTTATACCATTATATTATATCATTTTTTTATTTCAATAAGCATTTTTTGTATGTAAAATATAGCGTTGAATTAAATGTGATTTGTAATTTTGATAGATTTATTACGGTCACAGGACAAATCCAGCCATTAGTTATATAGACAGGC